CCTAGTTCTACTACACCTATGGGTATAAATATAAGGCCCCCTAGAAGAACAGACAAGACACCCACCATAGATGACACGGAACATAGATCAAGACAGAAGATCAACATACAAGCCAACATACGCCAAGACAAGACGCCGGATATCGACTTCGGAGATAGGCACAGCTAGTCCCCTACGGTATCTCCGGATACTGATAGGAGAGACATTGCGCTGTCTCTGATCTCGCCGGGCACGAACTCGAGGAGGAAGACTACCCTGTTGTTGACTACGAGTCAGAACTACAGACCACCAAGTCGACAACAGTTACATAGGCTACCCCAAATATTGTACTGGTGTGATTATAGTGAATAAGAGCAATACCGGCTTTGGCTAACAGGATGTAGGGTTATTACCTGACAATTCAGGGACCCGAACCTGTATAAAAATCCCTGTCTCCGTCTCTTTTACCTCAGTCTCGCATATACCCTAGTACCAACGATCCCCATACTATGCAAATACCGGAATCGCGACATCAAACGTCGACACAATCCTTCCCCTAAATCTTATTTTGGTCCAATTGCCACATATAAAAGACCCATACCTAAGAAAACGGTCTGTCACTTTAATTAACCCTGTTTACTGGACATAACATGGAGAAAATCTATTTATAATATCAAGGTTTTGCACATCTAGTCCTTCTTGATCTTTTGGTCCATATATGTTTTCTCACTTAGTCTATAATTTCATTTTGGTCATCATTTGCTAAAAGAGAAACATGACCAATAGTAATCCAATCTTTGAAGCACACCTTGTGGAATTCCAAAAAAGGGATAACACAAACAAGGGAAGGCTCGAAAGAACTAAGTTTAGAAGGACCAATCGCCTACAACATAAGATGTTTTTGCCCTTCCATGTGCTATGTTTCCTCTCAAATCTATCTTCAACTCCTTTCCAATCAACATCCCAGAGTTTTTGATAAAAAATTGGGGGGGGGGGGGTATGAAGATATCTAAAAGGGAAGGATCCCAAATTGCAACTAAATAATTATCTATATTGATCCACCACTTCCTACGATTTCCAAAAGCCAAAAAAAAAGGGTATCATTTTTATGAAAGTTTATATTTAGCCCTAAGAGCTATTCAAACACATTGGGGATGGCCTTCATGTTTTTGGCATGTTCAAGGTTATGATCTAGAAACATTATTGTGTCATTAGCATATTGTAGAATGGACAAACTATCCACCATTAAATGTAGAATGGCATATCTAATTTGACCATCAACTTGAGCTCTTTCAATGAGAACAACTAACATGTCAAGTACAATATTAAAAAGTATCAACGACATTGGATCCCCTTATCTCATGGCTTTGTGTGTCTGAAATTTATTGGTCGAGTCATCATTGACTTTTATACGGGCATTTCCCCCTTCAACCCATTTAGAAATCCAAGGATGCTGAAAAAAATCTTTTCGAACACATTATTTATTGAAGGAATTGCCATTTGACTTTATCATAAGTTTTTTCAAAATTAATTTTGAAAATGACCCAATCCATCATTTTATTCTGTAATATTTCTACCAGACAAACAACCATATAAGTTGGACGAATGACTTTGTGAGCAATCGATTAATCCTATTAGTGTCAACTTTTGTGAAAATTTGAAACTAACATTCAGAAGGTAAATTGGTCTATAGTGTTGGATTTGTTTTGCATCGGCTCTTTTGGGTAATAAAATTAATAATTTTAAAGTTTAAGCTAAAAAGAGGAAGTGTCCCTTTATGGAATTCCTTCAAGAGAGCCATCATATCATCTATGATCTCCCAGAAAACTTGATAGAATTGTGTAAGAAAACTATCCGGACTTGAGGCCTAGCTATGTTGTAGCCTAGACATGGGTATTCATAAGCAAGGGAAAGAAAAAGGCGACTGAATTGATAGTAAAACTACCTAAAGTATTATTCCAAATATCTCTTTACTGATGAACAAAACTAAAACTAAAGGCATACCCAACTGCATTATTAAACATGTTGATCTTCATCAACTAATTGTATGATGAATACGTCTAGACAAGTGGTACCAGTGGTACACTTGCTGGTACGTACTATACGTATACAATTCAATTCCCAGCGAAAGAAATACGAGCACGTGCTTAATTAATACGGACTCGTACTGTGTTCCACGTCACATGGGGGTGCACGCTGGCGCCTGGATGGTCCGTCGTTGTTGCAGGTCCACGTCATGTGGGGCCACATGTTCACTACGGAAGAAAGAAAATGTGCATTGCAGTGCAGGTCACTCGTGTTGGAAGTTGCAGTGCAGCCACCATGAGAGAGACCCTTGTCTTATTTATTTTTCTTTTTGAAGAAAAACATTATAAACACAGACGTTCACAACACGCGTATAATCACCTTTACGAACAAACACACGCACATCTTACATACCCTTTTGAGCATCTCCGGACTAGGCCGATATTTCTTGAGATCGACGGAGCCATCATGTGTGGGCACCTCGCTGTCGACGGGTACGTCGTTTACCACTAAAAGAATAATTAGCTATAAATACGAGCATCTGTGTCGAATTTAGTATTTGAACCCGGATGGGCTACTTCCACCACAAGAAATCTAACCAGTTGAGTTACGCTCGTTTCGCTACCCTTGTCTTAATTTTGATTGCATAGTTTGCATCTATGGATGATCTAGTATTGTAAAAAAGACTTTATTTGATGAGATTCCAATTAGCCATGGATATGCTGAAAAGCTACCGAAAGATAAACTAATGTCGGTCATGAATCGACTTAAAGATATGCATATGATGTGGAATGCTTAATTCGGTGGTGATGACTCAGATTCCTTGTGTGCCCTACAATACTACTCCATCTTTGGAGATATTTATATTCTGCACAAAAGAATACAACTTCGTAATTTTACCACCTCAAAGATTACATTGTAGCGAGACTCATTAATTAATCACCTCCAATACTTATGCAATAACAGAACAATAAGTAGATTTTTGTCAACCATGATAGAGATTTAGCAATAAAATTTCCATTATTGGTATTATCTCTATCTTTAGGCTAGTATTACTCCCTCCGGGCTGATAATATTAGTCGTGTTGGACAAGGGTAAAGTCAAACTTTAAAATCTTTGACTACAAATAATTTCTAAAATATTCATCTTAAAAATATGAAAATCATATGGGTAGATTAGTTTTAAAAAGTACTTCAATAAAATCATATATTTGTTGACATTTCTGTATATATTATAATAGAAAATAGTTGTCAAAGTTACTTTTTAAGACCGCATCCTTATCCAAAACGACAAGTATTATCAACCTGGAGAGAGTAGTAAATAGTTTTCTTGTTATCCATCCATATTTGAATTGTAATATGCAGCAGCTCTATCTTCAAACTCTGTAATAAATGCTTCTAGCTTTTTTTTAAACAAAAGGCGAAAACTCTGTAATAATTAGTTTTAGCTTAATTAAAGTAAGGTTTGAAATGAATTTTCCTTATTAAAAAAAACCATGCAGGCGCCAATCTTTCTATGTAGTATTAATTTTGATAAAATCCCCTGAAAGTTAAAACCCATTTCTAGCTCTCTAAAAATATATAAAAAAAACTCCAAACACTCCCAAACACGATCTCCCAAAATATAAAATATGAGCACGGCTACTTGTACTAAATTTTCTTTTAGAAAACTCTTATAAACAATTATCGACCATTTCCCAAAATATGAACTCTTATAGAAAATCCTATATATCTATGAAGTTCATCCCCACTAAGTATAGTTAATGCTAATTCTCTTTTCTCTTATGAAACCATATCACCTCAATTGTTTTTGGTCTTTGGATGATTCATTAAGATGTAAATTGCATCTCTTCCCCTAAAAGATACACCATACAACATAACCATTTATATCCTTATGATAATTGATGAAGGTACAAAAATATATAAACACATTACAAAAATTATATAGTAGGTAAGAAAGAAAATTTTAGAACTCATATCTATTATATTATTACATAATTCTCCTGCGGCAGCGTATGGGGTATCATCTAGTATATATACTTACAGCGTAAGACAAAATTTAGTACGTATAGACTTTTTCCATATGAAATCATTATTTGTCCCTGAAAGTGAAAATCTAATTAATTTTGTCAGTAAGAGTTAATACTGTCAAATGCTTACGTGGTCGTCTCCACACCACACTCCCAAACGCTCTCTCCCGTGGTTTCTCCTCTTTTTTTTATTTACACCAGCACCTTCGCTGATCTTGAGCAGCATGTTGTCTCCATGGACAACTAGACATTATAAATGTTATAATCCCACCTTCTATACTATGCGTACGTGTTAGATGCATCTCTAGCTACTTGGCCAATAATAATTAAGTTGACACAAATTAATTAAGCTCAACATGATTGAGATAGAACAGAAGAAGTGATCAGCATGCTATTAAATTGAATGACCCAATGAATACTATTAATGTGTAGAAAGCTCCAGCCAACCTCTCAAGTCTAACTTGATCAAGATCCACCATGACTTACAAATAGCAGTGTTAGGTCACAGTTTAATGGTTTATGAATGCTCTCTAACCAAATTATTTGAAGCATGGACGCTAGCTAGTGCCACGACAGTGTGTAACTTAATTTATTTTTCGATCCTCCACGTCATGCTTTTTTTTTTTAGATAATGTTATAGTACATCCTTTTATCATCTCGGAAAGCTCAAAACTCATGATTACGTTACAACTGGGATTTTTTTTTTGTTAGTAATACTCGCATGTCACTAGTTGCTACTAGGACAGTACTGTACATATATGTCAAGTTGTGTTTGAGAATCAAAATTCCGTTCAATTTTGTAAAAGAAACTTATAGGTTCATATAAACGCATTAGCCTATATAACACTGTAACAATTGTAACACATTTTACATGAGTATACCTTCTTAATTACCTGTTCAAGTGTACATGTGCGGACGAGCAGAGAGGATTGCTTTGAGAACGTAAGAATTAATTGCAAATCTAACGGGCAGCAATATTTTGCAAATGCTTTGCAAACCTCTTCGATGGGCTAAGAGAATGTAATGAAATGTTTCCATTTCTAATTACCTTCTTCCATGCATCTCTATAAACATCTTTATTAAATTATGGTAATTTTCTACAAATGGAAACTACTGTACTACATTCAAGCACAAGCTCCCTATACGCAGGCAAAGGTACTATGTTCCTTCTTTTGGAAAGGAAGCCCTGCTGCAATGCAATTCTGGCGCGAACACAAAGCTCGAGCCGTGTCACTCCAGGAGCGCCGCGAAGCAGCTTCCCGTGCGCGCGAGCGCGACGCTGGCGGCGGCGACGACGACGGCGTCGGACGCGTCGGCGGCGCCGCCCACGCCGCGCCTGGGGCTGCTCGGCGTGGAGCGGACTACCCTCCTCGGCGGCGGCGGCGGCGAGGAGGCGCCGCCCGAGCCGAGGCGGCGGAGGAGGAGCACGCGTACGGCGGCGATGAGGTCCCCGGCATTCTCCTCGGGCGACGGCGGCACGGAGGCACGGCGGGCGCGGCAGACGGCGGCGTGGCGGTCGAGCGCCTCGCCGGGCGAGATGGGCGGGTCGGCGCGCCCCAGCTCCTCGCCGGCGGCGTCCCCGCACAGCCCGCAGATCCACCTCCCGCCGTACCGCGCCCGCACCGCCGCCATGTACGGCGCCGTGCACTCCTGCGTGAACCCGCAGCACTCGCACGCCGCCGCCACCACCACCGCCGCCGCCGCCGCCTCCTCCTCCTCCTCCACTTCCCCCACCTCCTCCATCCGAAACGACGACCTTCTATGTATACCCTCAAGCTAGACGCGAGCGCGCTCTCGAGCAGAATCCGGAGACGAAGGTCACAGGATCCGTACAGTGCGAAGGCGCTCCTCGTCGCCGCCGGTGGCCGGCGCCGGCGCCGGCGAGGGGTCACCGCCGTGGTGCCCCGCTTCCATTTTTTTTATTTTCTCTGCTCGTGTGGGTGTGTCGTGCGGAGGAAGCGTGTCTTTATACGGGAAGGCGGAAAGCGTGAGCGGGCGCCTCTTGCTCGCTCTACGGGCCGCGGGACTTGGTGGGGCCCATGTGGCTCCGATGGAGTGGGGCCCACAGGGTGGGCGTTAGGGGTAAATGGAGTGAACTGGTAAAGTTGTTGGTGGAGATGCCAGGTTGGAGCAGGAGAGGATAAGCTGGCATTGGATGCCGGCCGCGGGGGGCCAGGTGGGGAGCATCGGCCACGTCAGCGTTGCCCTTGCCATGCTGGTAGCTTCGCTCCGTTGACTTGGTTGACCGGGAGGAGATAAGAGCGACAACAATGGTCGACAATAGTTTACTACTCCGTAAACAAAAATCTTAACAATCAACCTGAACACATACACCCCTAGTACTCGTAAAGAAAATTATTTTGGACAGCGATACGGTCTGCAAAATATAACTTTAACTTTTTGTTTCTATAAAAATATTTATTAAAAAGTGATATATGTAAACTTTTATGGAAGTATTTTTCAAGACAAATCTATTCGTAAAATTTTTACATTTTCAAACTCAACAACTTATTCATGATTTATATTCTCAAAGTTTGACTTAAACATTATCCTAAACAACTTTCTTTACGAGTACGGAGGGAGTATGTCTACATATTCTAACTACCAACGTAAACAGGTTATAAGGATTGGGTTTTTTTATAAGATGAATGGGGTGTCCAATAGTAATATGTGGTGAAACTGAAGTGCTAATTTCAAGTAATAAACAGTAGTGCGTTTTATTAAACATGATAAGTATATTCTTTCATATATATATAGAATAAGTGTGTCGATGTATAGTTAAAGTTATTATATTTTTAAAACGAATATAGTTGTAATTTTTAGATATAAGCTTCAAACATGGACTACGATAAATCATAGAATGGCTGGTGTGGTGTATCATTGGATACTCTAACCCATTTTTTTTACTCGACTCTATGCAATATTGGACATATTTCTTTCGTCTTAAGAAATATTCGTTTGTTTTAAAATAAATTTACTTTTATTCTCTTACCTATTTTCTATTTATAAATTGATGAGTTTTATTCTACTAATTTTACTCTTCTTTACTAATAAGGGACACTTTAGTACTTTTTTTCGGTCAACCTTGTTTTAAATATCTAGTGCCGAAGATGAAGTTAACATTTATCTTATAAAATAACCATGCAACTTCATTTATTTTGTTATAACTTATTTTATCTTTAAAGTTATATTAATAATGAGTTATATTTTTTTATATTTATATAAACTTTTCCGATAAAACGACCTATCAAAACGTACATTCAAAAGTCAGCAACGTAATATATATTTAAACGCTGGTAGTACTAGTTATCCTCAAGAAGATAGTAGTAGGCTGGTTAAAGTATTATTTTCCCCCTTGATTGTTGATGGAGAATATTTTAGCAAAAAACCCTAGTTCCATCACGCTTTACAAAACCGGCGGTAACCACACAGTTACCATGTGGTAATCATGCTTATCACTAGGGTATGGTAACCCTGACGCCGATGATAAGGGAAACCTTGTTCCACCCTCCTTGGTCTGTAACGGCTTGTTCTGTAACAGCATGTACTTTTCTTTTAAAGTTCACTTCTCCGAAAAAAAACTGAAAACCAAACCTGTACAATACAAAAGGCAAAAACATTAAAAAGAACCCGTTACTTTGGTTTGATGCGGTGTGCCCTGGCCTACAGTTTCTAGAACAATAGTCGTTGTGACCGCGAGGTAAATTAAGCTTGCACACATGAGCCCCACACAGCCTCCGCCTGGCCTATCTAGAAAGCAAGTTCTTTATCACACTTGAAATTACTAGCTCTTGGAATAAGTTTTTTTTACCTGTTTGTTGCAAAATAAGAGTATGTTTGGAAGGACTCCAACCCCTAAATTTAACTGCAGAGTTAGATCTGAAATAAAGTTGTAAAGCGACCTAAACTCAGCTCCATCTCCCTAATTTATTTTGTGAAAGTATTCCAACGAACTCCAATTCCATTTTGGATGAAGCTAAAACTGTTTGGCTAGGAGAGGTGAAGTTGGAGCTGAAGCTGCTAAACAGACCGTAAGTTAATTTTTGAGTAATCATTGTATTGAAGTTGATAAAAGTGGAAAATAAATATATTCGGAATAGATAAAAAGAAAAATAGTTGTATTGAGATTTTATAAAATAGAGTTATTTTAATTTTTTATATAGGTATATGTGAAATGAGTGAAAAATAAACTTATTTTAAGATGGAAGGATGTATTGATAGAAGCTCAACATGGAATTGTTGGTGGAAGGGGACAGAAACGTGGCGGTCCGTGCCATTTTACACTACACATGAGTTATATGTACAAGTGAGTAATTTGGAGGTGATATCATTAATTTACACGTACGGACATCTACCTTTTCAGGGGCGGAGGTAGAGTATGGGGGTGCCCAGGAATCCGGTCAAGAAATTTTTTTAGCTATACCTTACCGATTTTTATCATGTGTGCACCCCTTAAATACAAACTTAGACATATGTATCACCTTAAACTTAATGTTTAATATAAAGTGGAGTAAATTAAACAAGAGACACCCTTCTATATTTCGTTCTAGCTCTGCCCACCTTTGAGGTGGTGGTCTTGAGTTATAAAGGAAAAATGGCCACGAGATGTTACACACTCAATTTTGTGTACGAAAATGTTGGATAGTAGTATATATGTTCCTTTCCCTTCAGATTAGATAGTAAATTTAGTTGGATTGAATACTACCTGATAGATCGTGCTAATATAATCTGAGTATAGATATAATCTCAAGTCAGATGCAAAGAGGTTAATTGGGCTTTACGGCCCATGACCGCTCCTGAAGTCCTGACTGCCGCATGTGCGTGCGCCGTGCGCTCACTCCCCTGCCGTTCGCGCCGTTACGTTTGATCGTACAAAAATCAGAAGAAAAAGTCGTATGCGTAGCATTTTCCCAATCAACATGACTGGAGTTTAATGGGTACGATAGTTGTAAAAATTAAGACTATGGTCGGACAAAAAAACAAAAATGCTAGGTCCGCTTCAGTTTTAGAAACAGTCCATTCAGCAATATGATATTGCTCAACCTAGCCCATGCTCATCTCACTATCGCATTAACAAAGTAAATTGATGTACGATATGAATATATGGTTTTACTCTTCCATACTTCTCACTGATGTTTTAGAAATCATTAATTGTAAACATCGACCATCAGTATCTCTTCAAATATTTTGAGACTAACTTTTGAAAGCAGTGTGGTTAGATTTATTTTTCAAAAATAGTTTTGTAATTAATATTATAACTTTGCTATGTTCATTATGTTTTATAATAGTAATTAATTAATAATAATCAAATGATGAAACAAATATAAGATAATTGAGTTTGGTTACCACTAAGGTTGTCAGTATACTGATCCGTATCCTAGTAACGATAGTGCAATCCTACCAAGCTGAAACTACCAATCTCACCTACTTCCTAATTTTCATATGTAGTATCTTGATCTTAATAATTATTTCCACACGATCCTATGAAATCTTAGGTAGTATCTTGATCCTACAATCTTACAAAATATTATTTAAAATAAGGATTGATAATAATGTGAATAAATATACTCAAGTTTACATAAAAAATAATTAGATTTATTAAAATCAAATTACATGCTTTAATTTATATAACATATTATATATTTTATATAAAACAATGTACTTTCTAAAATCTGATAGTATCCTGATCCTATGATACTAGAAATAAAAAATGATCATACCTAGTATCAGGAATACCTGATACTGATTAGCTTTTGGTTACCAGAAGGAGTACTTCTCAATTCATCGCCCATCGCCGGTAGATCGAGAGGAGATGCCGCCCAATCTGACGGGGATGGAGGTGGCCGAGAGAGAGCCTGGCCCGACAGTGGAGCCGCCGAGAGATGGGGAAGAGATGAAAGAGGGAAAGGAAGAAGAGTTGGTTGCTGACATGTGTGGTCTAAGTAGCTCGATCCTACTCGCCATGTCAACCAAAACCAGTTACTATACTACCGAGGGACCAAAGTTGATATGTATTATAAGTTAGGGATTGTTATACATGGTATTTTGGTTTAGTGACGAGTTTCAGACTCAGTGACAAATTTAGGGACCTAAAGTGAACTTGTGCTTCTTTAGCAGGCCATTTTTGGTACTCTTGTGCTTCTTTAGTAGGCCATTTTTCTAAGAGCCCAGATATACAATTTGTTTTCTTTAATTGTTTTGAATTTGGTTCAAGTTTAATTATTTCAAATTTGTTTCAAAACAGTGTTTTGGGTATAAAGGTCGATTTTGTAGTATGTATAGAGTTTTTTTTTTCAAGTCTCTATTTGTACACCAATGTTGGCTAGTGGAGGCTAATGCAACAGTGTTTTGGATATATAAAGGTCTAATTTGATGGAAATAAATGGTTGTTTTGGACGGTACGGCAAAAAACTAAACTTTGTGAATTTTTTGGCAGTGTTAAAGTGTACTAGAATAATGGTATGTTTTTAACCCCAATAATTTTCCGTTGTGTTCATACAACTGATATTTCCCTTTTATTAAATCTGATTTATGTTTTCTCGTGAGCCGAACAACCAGCTGAAGTTTAAACTTTCAGCTCACGACATCCTGGAGTAGTAGAGTCGTATGTGTGGGTGCGCAGCCGAATAGTGGATATATAAGAAAGTTCGTGGAGAGCTCAAAAGGTAAACTTTAATCCTGTTTAGGGAGTTTTTTTTGATAGCGGCAGCTTTTTAAGATCATTATTTAGCTGCCCAAACCCAAACAATCTTAAGTTTTATTAAAATTCTAAAATTATATAGTCACTGAGATATATAAAATAAACTAGACGAAATCAGAATTTAGAAAACATATTTTTGCCTCGGTTGTGCCATTTAATCTTGAGATTCCTCTCAAACAAGGAGTTCACCATAAACCATGAGTGTTTTTATAGCTAGGAAATGCATGCTGGACGATTAGAAATTGGAAAGCAGCTTGGATCCCAGT